GCCTCCGTAATGTATCATTTTAGTCTATCACAAGTTCAATTGTATACTTTATATGATGTCATACTTAATATTATATAGTTTAACGCAATAATATACTATTAACGCAAGGAGTGACGTAAGTTACATTTGAAAAAAGCATGTGAAAGACTTGGAGAAATATATAAATCAGATGTAAGCGCATCACTTGGCATTATTACCTCTAATACTTGCCCCTAAATCCTTTACATTCGATTATGGAGAGGGGGGATACCGATAAACTAACAGGTGAGTGTCACCTCATACTATAGTGTTGGGAAACGTTGAACGGATAATTTTGACTCACAACATTTTAAACTGCACATATCATAGATTTGATTGAAGACCTTATCTCATATGACGAGAATAGGCATAAAAATGTCCTTGATACCTTCTTTGATGGAGATGCGTCACTTTCCCATCCATTCCTCACGACCAAGGGGACTCACAATATCCGTAAAGTATTCCGTGTATGGGTCTCTCTTAATGCTCAAGAACCAAGCATAGTAGAAACTCCCATCTATGAGTAAGTAAAAAAAATCAACTCGCATTGGACCCGCATTGTATAAATTACAACTTGTGATTGTGCCTTTTTTTTCAATGTTAATTCACCATCAATCCTTTTTCGTTTCCTTCCCGTGCACATATCAGTAATGAAACTGCTGTTGTTCGCACCATACAGCATTTCCGCCCACGTATTATGCCCTTCGTTCATTTGCAAGTTCCCGCTCAAACTATTCTCCGATTCCGAGAACGTGATGATGGCAAAATGGTTATCTACCATCAAGAAGACAGCTGGACTCTCGACGCCTTAATTCAAAGCGTTCCTCTCGTGAATTGGTGGTACGAAAACGTTGTCCGCACAGCCTTGGGCAAAATTGTCAGCGGAGCTGGCTCGTTCATCTACTCTGCTAACCAGGCTACCACTCACCTTACGCACCGTGCTGGCGAAATCGGTGTCAAGGGTCGTAATGTCATCTCGCAGGCTCAAGAAAAGGGGGTTGGCCTTGTAACTCCGATTCTTAGTTCCGATTTCATGACGAGCAATCAGCAAAAAGTCAGCCAATTGACTGCGCCATATGCCGAGATGTTGGTTGGCGGATCAAATAAGGTTACTGGTTTGACCAACAAGGCCTTCTCTGCTTTCAATCAGTTTACTGGACGTAGCAATTATGAAATTGAAGCTCAATAGAACTTGATGAACTGTTGTTGATTGGGTCGTGTATATATGTAGTTTATTCGGTACGCAACATACGTATATACGAACGTTGTCTAACGTTGTTTATTCCTTTGATATGAAAAATGTTAATTATCCCGTCGTCGTATCTGTGATCGCATGATGGGTGGACATAATAAATTTTTCGATGAACAACTTTTTCTCTCCGAAACCAAACTAGTCACGAGATGGAAAGATTTCATGGAGTTTCATTGGGTTGCTTCAGATAAAAAAATTTGATGTGAACAGCGCAAACAATAATAAAGTAGCTAAATACTTTTAGCAAGCGGCGAGCTTTGCGTTTTTTTCGTCTTCAAACCATGAATTAATTACATTATTTTTCAAATGCGAAAGCGGAAGAGCCGTACTTGATTAGGAGTCGCGCCGTCCCGAAAGGGATTTGATTCGAGTGAAAACATGATGAATATTTAGTGTTCACTATTCCAAATTTATAAATGATTGCCAATCTTTTAGCACACGTTTTTCGCTAATCCTCTTCGGTAAGACTGGTGCAATATACATGTTTAGGTCGAGGGTGGGTGTCGGGATCGCGAATAGTAAGAACGATGTTAACAGTATTTTGTTGGCATCACAGTGATTTAAGAATGTAACTAACGTTAAAGTTGGCAGAT